TTGCTTATAAGCATTTTAAGGGATTAATTTCCGTGCATATAAGCAGAACATGTTTGACATTGCTTATAAGCTATAGGAAGTTCCTTTCGACAAATTAGTTTAGACTTGCGAAAATATTTATGAGCCTTCTGTTTCATGTTTCTTTCAGTGCCAAAAGGCAGTTGGAAAGTACTAATCAAACATTATTTTTTAAAAGCTTTTGCTAATTTTGTATCTTCTCTTCTAAGTATTGATTTTTGAACTGAGTGTGTATCCTTTTCGTACTCTGTTTATTGACATTACTATTAGACAATTTTCTTTCTATTTGAGTTTTCAAAGGGAGGTGTTAGGTTTGGACTCCTACTTGTTTAGCAATAAAACTTGATAAACATATGATTGGCTCGTGCTTCTTCCCTTTGTCTTTTTTTCTTTTTCTTATTTTTTCTTTTCTCTGTTAGAAGTTAGATTCCACACTTTTAAGTTGTTGAATACTATGGATCTATGTTGAATAATATCATGTTGTCTTGATTGGCTTTTGGTGGAAGCCTTCAATTTCTGTTTTCCCTTTAAAATGGTTTCCCATAAATAGGGCAGTCCATTTGAGTTTAAGAAGGGGGAAGCTTGAATAAAATCACAGTATTAGCAGATTATGTTTGCATGTGGCATTTCAAGATCACATGAATTTCTTAGTCTAGTGTAGTTTTATCAGAGTTTTCTGATAGCTGCTATTTTCAATTTCCAAAGTGGAAGTTGGATTCCTATTAGAATTTTGGATCCTTGAAGACTAAGTTTTAATCCAATTTCCATTTTTATTCACAATCAATTAACTTTCGTGATTATTTTCCTCTTTCTGATTGAAAGGTGCATTTTGACACTGCACTATTCCTGTGTATTTTAGGAATGATTCCATGAAAATCAGTTTCTTCCTCATCTTTATTTCATATTTTCTGCAGGTAAAAATCTCTGAACCTCCTTAATCTGATTGGAATTTCGCAATGCACAGCATTCCAATAACCGCAATAAGGCCACAAGGCCATTACATTGTTTTCTTTTCTTTAAATTTTCTTGTAGAATTCTAACCCACTTACCTCCCCTTAATTTGTCGTACTTGAAGGAAGGACCACACCTTGAATATGTATTCATGCAATTTATACTACTCCCTCCATTTCAAAATTGAATGTCTTCATTAATGTTTTCTCCTTTTCAAAATAATGGCTACTTACCCTAAATGGAAATTTTTTTTTTACTACTCAATCAGCATAATGTTACTCGTATTTTTATTTAGTTACTCGATGGTATTCACCATTAAGTTCCCTTTGTTGAAAAGTTCAATGAAATTAAGTCTCAGTGTCACTGCATCCATGTTAGTTTTGTTCTATGTGCTGCCCTTTTGACCCAGTCTACTCGAATTGCACCACTCTTGGGAGTAATAAAATTGAAAAAAAAAAAAAAGAGAGAGTCAAAGCTTCAGTTGAAAAACCAATCTAAGTAAAATCTAGTGGTTCAATTTGAAAGTGAAGGAATAATATTTTCAGCAAAATAATGAAGGGCGTTAAGGGATGACAATGCTTTGTTCATGCACAGAAATTGTACGAAATAGTTAGTGTATATAGTGTTGAACACCCAAATTCTCTATCGTTCTTTAAAACAATTTTAATATATTGAAATAAGTTATGTTCGCAATAAATCAAGGGTTGATTATGTGAATCCTTTTTTGTCAGCTTGTTTGATCCATGTTGTCTTTCAATAAAGTCTATGCAACACATGCTACAACCACTTAGACAATAATTATATTATGAAGTGTGCTCAATTTAGCTGAATTCCATGGTTCCCTCTCAGCTTCTATTTGGTTTGGTATTTCTAATACATGTGGCACAAATAAAGTTGAATTTTATTGCTGCTTCATATTATCTAATAGAGTTTATGACAAGATTCAAAAATATCACATGTTGGATGTATGCCTTTTAACCATTCCTATGTGAAGTATTTGTTATTCGCCTTTTTATGTATTTATTTATGTATGCATGTAAAAATGCATATTGATTAAATTTTTACTAGCATAGATGATTATCAGACTTTGCCCCTCCTTTTTGTTTGTTCTAACTATGAGATTCTGTGGCCTCCCGAAGACCATACCTAATTCTTTTAGGGTGCAGGAGTTGGTTACTATCGTACCTAACAACTGTCTACACCTCCCAACATCCCAAATAGGCTGGTTACTTGAATCCTTTTTCGCCATTCCCTTTTGTTTATTGCTAGATATGCTCGATGATCTAAAGCAACAAGATCATTAGCGTCTATCCTTCTATCATTGTGTTTTACCAAGATTGCATCACTATTATGAACGTGAACCTCTTTATGTCTACACAACATATCTCAACCACCGAAGTTGTTCTTGTGTGATGCTTTCACAATCGGCGGTCAAGGTTAATGCTGACTGCACCTCAGCAAATACTTTTATGATCGATCCTTGAATACGGGATTTTGAAACATTTTTGGTAGGTGGACGCAACTGCACCGATCTTGTGGGACTCACAATTATTGTCCACATCATCACTCATTTCTATTTATTTATAAATTAAACCGTTTATACGCACTTCCCAAACAAGCTTTTAGACATGTATACATACACAATTTTGTTTTACTGTGATAACCTTACTTGTTTGCATAGATAACAGAAAATATCGTGAACATGTAAAGGATCTATTGTGCTTATCGAAGGATTTACGCCGAATTGTCATTGTTGATAACAATCCATTTAGTTTCTTGTTGCAACCCTCGAACGGAATTCCATGCGTTCCATTTTCTGCTGGACAACCACATGATGATCAGGTACCATGTTTGACTCATCCAATATATTTTGTTCTTCCTCACAAATATCCCTCCAACTCTTAGGACTAACTGTTATCACTACGTGCGGAACAGCTTTTGGAAGTTATTCTTCCACTTCTCAAGCACCTCTCTGTGCAGAAAGACGTACGGCCAGTTCTGTATGAAAGATTTTATATGCCTGAATGGTTTCAAAAGCATGGCATCCCTGCTTCAGAAAAGACAAACATAGGTTAAAATCGAACGAGTGTAGGATATTATTCTCTTCGGCAGTGTCCCCTAGCCAGATTTCCCAAATTTTTGTATAGAATCATTCTGTGCTCAGGAGCAGCCACTAATGAAACTCAGAAATGTTCAAATTCTTGTCAGATAAGTTTCTCTATTGCACTATCAGACATTTGCACAGGATTGTGATAATTAGGATTCTTGTGTAAAATTGTTTATAAGAATGAATTCTATGTATTTTCTTAATGTTGTATACAGTCAATGCCAATAAATAATTAGCAGCTAAACAGAATTCTGAGTTGTCACTTGAAAGAGATTGGTGTATATTAGAATGCAGTATTTCTGTATATATCTGATCAAATTTTTGGGTTGTGTTGAGGAATGCTTTATTTGGTAAACAAATTAGGGAAAAATTGCATCACTGGTCCCAACCTATTACTCTTGTAGCTATGTGCTATATTGCTAGAAAAGTTTTGACATTTTTCTCGACAGAATTTCACGTGTCATTGGATTGTTTTAAATTACATTCAATCATTTCCTACCATCAATACATTTGTCAACTAGGATGTCAATATTTTTTTGACAAAGTAGCTTAATTCGTAGTTTTAATGCTTATCTGTAAGGACCTTAGCCCCATTTTTCTTTTCTTTTTACCTTTGCTTTTGTATTACATTTTTACGGCACTATCTCTAACCTTTAAGCTTTGTAAGCTAATTGACTGATCAATGTGACAGACGAGTTGGTCCAAACATTCGTTCATTTTGACACTAAACCTCCATTTTTCTTTTTATTCTGATTTTCCCACTTTTTTCCAATTTGTTATCTTTTCTTTCCACCTTGTCGTGCTAAATTATAAAGACACGTTTTTTTCTGTTTTCAATGTAAAAATATTTGATAATAGCTCATTTTTACTTCCAATGTCCATTTCTTTGCTATACTATATTTGATGTCGTCAAATTATTGAATAAAAATATTTGATTGGTGCACATGGATAAAAAACAGTTAAAGTATGTTTGATTGTAAGTATGAAATTTGCATGGAAAGAAAATACGTTCTGGATAAATGTATTTCCTAAAACTTATTTGTATGAATGTCAATTAAATGTGTTTGGTTAGCTTAATTTTCAACCTAAAAAATGTTGTAATTTTTCATCTTTTATTGGTGGATGGATGGCAAATGAGAGAGCATAAAATGAAGTCTTTGAAAAGTGTGAATTGCATAGAAAATGTTTTTACCTACTCCTTCCCAAATTTTTTTTGAAGAAAACATGGTCACGGACTTTGTAAAATATTTTTAATGGAAAAATAATGACAATCAAACATGTCAAAAAAGTAAGAACTTCGATGAAAAAGTGACATTTTCCATGAAAAATAAAGTTAATCAAACACTTGTATTTATTAATTTCAAGACAATTTGGTAATTATGTTTACTCAATTTAAGATCATCTACATAAATTTTTTCACCATTTTCATTTCTTTTACTGCTGATCTACCAAAAGATTCAAAATAACTCGATTCTCAACACTCAAGACAGACTATAATAGCTTGTACAAATAGTAATAAAATTACTTTTTGCTTGTAGTTTATACGAACTTTCTCACAATCTGAACAAAACCAACGGGCCAACTCATCCCATAATCTCATCCATTATCAGCAGAGCAAGCAACTAATTTGCATTCCCACCTTAAGAAATTGTGTCCCACTTGACAAGGTCCAAATTTGAGTATTTGCCAATCATGCCATAATATTTTAATGTGTACAAATTTAGATGTTCACGAAACGAATATCTGGAAGAAGGTTTAGCTTATGAACCAAATTCCTAATAATGATACAAAGATTTCAAATTATACATCTAACTCGTGAATCAGAGAATACACTTAACCTTTTCTAGTGGAGAATAATCTTCAAACCAGAAGTTCAGAATACAAGTCAATGGTTAATGCATGTATATTATGGTGTCATGGACAATCATCTCCTGCTACGTATGCTAGCAGGAGATCGGGGAGGCTTATCACTGCTAACATCATCATCCCCTTCACTTCCATTCACGCAAAGGGCATTGTTATTAACGCTCACATCAGAACTAGCACTGCTTGTTGCAAGTGCTGAATCAGACACACTAACTGTCCCTCTTTTGTTATACCCTGATCTCACATTATACACGGAGGATGCCGGGATATTAGTCATTAGTGGACGTAGGTTGCCTGAGATGTTTCGCCTTATGCCCTGCACAGGAAAATTCAGAAATTAATTATCCAAAAAGAAAGGGGTGCTTGCAAATTTATATTGAGCACCATATATTGATTAGTACGTAATTTCACTAAATGATATAAAAAAAACACCTCCTTCAACATGATTACAAGTAATTATAGTATCACCTGAATAACAAAAAGTGAAATTTGTGTACATACCATATGCCTTATTGCCATATCTAACGATTTCTTTGAAAGTGTTCTACCAAAGCCTGAATTGTCGGGTGATGAAGACTTTCCAGATAAGTTGCTCATGGGTGAATGTTTGTCATTTTGCTTTGGTGGAGCCAGTTTCCGCATATTTATTACTCTCTCAACCATTTTCGTTCCATATAGAACAGGGCTCACATTGTCATTAGCCTTGGCATGCAACCGATTTACAGAAGGCACGGGGACGGAGCTCCCACTGCTACGAGTATTACCATTGGGAGGCAGTCCTCTTGCTGGAGAACATGATTGTCTTCTAACCCTTCCATTTGAAAGGGGTTCGACGGATGATGATCGAGAACTTGGTGCTCCAGGTCTACCTCTAGTGACAGAAGCAGGCCTATCAGACAGAGATGTCCGCAGATTTGATGGTGCATAAAGTGAGAATCCGGGCATGTCCGAGGGTTTCCATGGTTTGGGCCTCATAGTTGGAGAATTAGACACTGCTGGCACTGGATTTTTTGCTGTAGAGGTAACAGGCTTTATAACTGAAGAAGTAGGGGACTTAACTGGGGCACTTGACACTGATGTCCTACGAGTCGGGGTTGATGCCCTGGATGTGGACTTTGGTGCAGGTATAGATAGTCTGGTTGTAGGTGTTGAGGATCTTATGGTAGACCTTGTGATAGGTGTAGAAGATCTCGGTGGAACCGTGGGCTTAGCTGAAGGCAAGGTAGCACGGGAAGTAGGTGTTGCAGATCTCGGAGGAACCTTGGGCTTAGCAGAAGGCAAGGTGGCACGGGAAGTAGGTGTTGCAGATCTCGAAGGTTTAGATGACGTGGTTGATGTTAATTTAGATGACGTGGTTGATGTTAATTTAGAAGCCGTGGTCAATGTAGATTTATCAGATGCTGTAGTCGAGGTGGATCTAGATGTTGAGCTCAATGTTGGACGCCCAGTTGGTGTTGCAGGTCTTGATCCAGGACCCCCAGATGAAGAGGGCATGCGGAGTCCTCCAGTTGAAGTATTTAACCCAAGAGATGAAGCTGGCTGTCTAGATAATAAATTGCTCCTACTAGCCAGCTCAGGCTGGGAGTTTACTAGCTTCAAGCATAGAAAACAAGATGCAGAAAAAAATATAATTCATAATTTTTGCAGATAATTCTCTAAAACGCCCAAAAAAATATTCTAAATTAGAATAGACTCACAAGGACTACTAACGTGTTTGTTCCTTGTGCAAGTAGAGGTGAATTTCTTACTGCACTATTAGTTTTGGAGAGGATTATAGACTATAACTATGCAGCTGATTATAATGATGATCATCACCTAATAGAATTAGAAACAAAAAAAAATGTAATATAAGAATATTTATCTCCTTTGCCCTTTTAGGGGCTTCATTTCCTAAAATCTGTTTGCTTCTTCCACATAGTGAATGGAAACTTATAAAACACATTGGCCACATGATATTTGTCAATTCAAACTACATGTTTGCTTTACACTAGATGAAAGAATATATCGGTCACTATGCACTTTAAGCTAAGAACTTTCAGGAAAGCCAGTGAATTTTAGGGGGTATGTTGGCCCCTTGTGCATATGGAACAACCAAACTCCTATCCTATAGAAACATGAAGAACAACTAATTATGCATTCCAACCAATATTTGAACAGAATGCTATTATCTTTAGCTTACTCTAGATTTTAGCGCTGTGGGGCGAACTTTTGGAGTTCCCAGCTGGTTCATCACAGTTCTCTGTGATTCCATCTGTAGTGAAGGAAAAAGAGGAGTACCTGGAGGTGTTAAAAGCCTGAAAACATAAGAAACCTTTTATGAGTGCCATTGAATGACTGTGGATTGAGATCAAAATGAACCTCTACGTTCCACCTAGAATTCTCAAGAAAATCTAGTCCAAGCTCCGTCAGCACATGTGACAGAAGTAACTATAAATTTGAGACAAATCAAATTTTTGTTTCTACGTTCCACCTAGAATTCTCAAGAAAATCTAGTCCAAGCCCCGTCGGCACATGTGACAGACGTAACTATAAATTTGAGACAATCAAATTTTTATTTCTAAATAGTAAATAAACAAAGCCCAAATTATTTCCAAGGGATCCAATTAACATCAGCAATATGTGATGATGTGCATATATTATATGTCTTTATCTGAGCTTATGTGAATCATGCAATCCATGTTTAAACCAAAAACAAATTACTATTGATAACAACTCAGCTTTAGCAACTAACAGAGATGAAGTAGAGTAAAATAAACAAACTTAACCAGCAACCTTTCCTAGTGGAGTATAAGCTTTATATTATGGAGCTGCATTGTATATGCTAGTTATATTCCTTAGTAAAGAAGAGTTGCAAATATTTAATATCATAACTATTCAAAAAATGTAAATTTCCATAAATCACACGTTGCTATGCTAATAATAATAACGAAAAGATAACTCATCTATGTTATTCATCAGTATTTGACCAATTACTGAATGATAAAGTATAAACACAGAAATTAGTAAATTATTATTTGGATAACTAATTAAGTTACCCATTTACGAATCTCCTAAAGGCACTCGAGTAGGAAGATACAGACACGTCCATTCCAATCTAACAATAAGTAGAAAGTACAGTGTATGCGAACTAGAGAACCTTCCACGTAAATATTCTTTTCTGGAGTTGGACTGATAAGAAAACTATATAGAAACTTGAGGTGCTGTCTTTGTGTATCAACCGTAAGAAATCACAGATATCTTATAAAAAAGGCTAACAGTCTAAGACGGAACTTGTCCTATAGATGCTGTGTTGAGGTCCGTTTGAAATGTGAAAATAATCAGATTCATTCTTATGGGAGGAGAAAGTCAAAAGAGATATTGTCTTTCAATCCAAGTATAAATAGGAGTTTAAGTACAATGAAAGCACTCCATGAAGACAAATTAAATATTTACCATTAAAGGACATCAACACTACAAAATTTAAAGAAATTCACAATCATCATAAAATTTAGAAGGTAAAAGAATAAAACCCTTCGAGGCATCAAAAAAATTACCACTCATAGTCATTTTTTTCACCGTCAAAATTAAGAAATTCATCTGCACCAGTCTTCCGCAGAGGTGCAGCTGCAGCTGCAGCTGCTGTTATATTAAAAATGGGAGAACCACCGATTCTTGAACCTGCATACAAAGTCATAAATAAAATAAAAACGAATACTTGAACAATAAAACTAAGATCACTAAATGAAAAGCTTCAGAAAAGGTAAATTTCAAGTATTCATTTTTTGCTTCAAATAATATTTCACAATCTAATGCCATCCAAAGTCAGTAACATTCACCAAACAAAAACTTTAATAATTTTTTCAGAGCAACAGCACATCAGATTACGTCGAAAAGTTACACAATTTCAAAAATTCACCAAATAGATTCATCATATAATTAATTAACAACTAATTGAGACCTTCATCACATAACACCAAAACAATAATATAAAATAAGAGAACAATTTTCCACAAAGTTAAAACTATTTTAATACCAAGTGGAGCATCAAATTCATCAGAGTTTTGAAGAAGAAGAAGATTATTCCGATCCTTCTCGCGCTTGCGCATTTCTTGAAACAATGCTAGCCCCTCATCCTTGTTGTCCTTCAGTCTCAGACTCCCCTTTTGCTCCCTCTCCGGACCCCTAAAACTTCGATTCATCCCCCCAAAAAATATATTAAAAAACAATCGTCAACTCTCCATCGACATTCTGAACCGTTCAAGCTTCATAACAACCCTGTATTTCTCCAAACCCAATTTCCTGACAAACAAATTGAAAACGCTAACTTCACAGATCGAGAATCAAACGAAATACATAGAAAAACAATCCACACTCCGCATACCATATTCCTTCACTAAAATATCCATAAAATCCGCATATTTCAACCAGTTAAATGTTGTCAACCCCACAGTAACTGCGCGCATATACACATAACATTCGTGTATATATATTTGAGTAAATGTAGAGTAGAGGGAGAAAATGTGAGGGCCAGAGTTCGAATATATTTGCAGATCGGAAGGGAGTGGCATTGGGTGTAAATTATGATAGAAGCGTGGGGAAATTCACGGGACAATTCAAGTTTTTTTTGTTTCTGTATGAGAGAGAGTGGGGTAGCATTCATACAACTAACGGGCATTTTAGTTGTCTGAATCGTGAGGATAATTACAAAAATGACCCTGAACTCATTCTTTTGTAACAAAAATTTGGGATTAACGTTATTCATCCCCATTGGGGATGAAAACACAATTTATATGTCTTTAAATGATAGGTTAAATAAAATGTGATTTTAATTTCACCTATCATTTAATGACACATTAACGCCACGTAGACTGTGTATTCATCCCCATGGGGGATGAATAGTATTTGTTCGATCGAAGGAGTTTCGAATTAATAATGTACCAAGATTCATCACAACACGAGAATGTTTAGCAACCTCGACATGTGATTTCGTTAGAGCTAACATAGCGTATAGCTCATTTTACACTTTATTCAAGTATAGAATCGTCTGAAAATTTCGAAACATGACAATTCACTTTCAAAATGTCAAATCTCTATGGACTATTAATCCAAGTATCAAAGTAGAATCACCACCGTCTCGGTTGAACATTCATGTATGCTATAGTTAAAAAAGGAAATTATGCTGCTATTTGTCATCATAAATGATCATCATATGACAAAATGATGACATTAAATTATAGGTCCAATGGAACCTGGAACCTACCATTCAATGTCACCTAAACACGATGATTATCGTCAATAATGACAACTAACGTTAAGTAAGTCACAAACCATCGGGAGACTAATTCACTTATGGACCATTGGCCGGATCAATAAATTCACTTAACGTATTAATTAAAATTTCGATTCTTTGCATGGTTAATCAATCCCATACATCAGATACATATTTGTTTGATTAAATTTTAGTAATTTTTCAATTGATTAAATTTAATTTTAATCACACATTTCGTAAATCATGAAACTTATTTAAGTAATTGATGGGCACAAAAAATTCGATTTTATGCAGAGAAGCAGACCAGGCAAGTGTGACTCTCGAAGTCAAATTCATCGTACAAGAGACAACTAGACAAATCATTTACATAATTAAAAAGCCACTTCATCATTTAAAAAATCTTTAAAAAAAAAAGGTCAACAAAAACAACTATTACATAATTATTCAAAAAACTACTATAAAACAAGGCAACAATCTAACGAACAGAAACGGATCCACCTTAACTGCCTGCTGGATTGATTACTTTTCAGAGAGAAACTCGTACAAATTATAATCCGCTGCAGCTCCCAAAATGACAGGAAACCAGATCAAAATGCACAAAAATTGGATTCACATTTCTGATATTTCATTGCAGTTACAAAACTCTAATGCGATCTCATCAGCCGCTGATATCACGGTTTTTTAGTGCTGATTCAACAAGTTTAACCTTTTGTGTGTTCTCACTGTTCAGAAGTGACAGTTTGGCAAGAGTGGATTTAAGCTGAGATACTTGTTCTTCTTGAACTCGACTTGCCATGCTTCTTGATTTTTGTCTTTGTTGATTAAAGAAATTGATCTGTGGAGAATGTAGGTGTCTTCTCAACCGTGCATTCAGAGCTTCAATGGAAGAGCGCAAGGCATCCAACTCCACTCCAGTAAATCTATCTGCATTGATTAAGTTATTTACATAAAATATCAAAAAATTGAGAAAGGAAGATTATTCTCAGATGTATATATATGAGTTCCAGTGAATGTTTAGAGGGATCTGGGGCTGTTCTTCTTTTGACAAACTGAGTACCAAAATAGAAAATCCATTTGACGAGAATTTAAGTAGCATAAGTCAACTTTCATGATTCAGATAAAGTTACAAAACAAAAATTCAGTTCACCCAAAGGCAGATGGTTGGTGGATTTGGATGGAAGTGGCTGTCCTCAGCCCTCCATGCACCCCCCTCCCCCCCCACCACCCACACACACACAAACAAATAAAAATAATAAAGAAATAAATAATAAGAGAGAGAAAAAGAGATTGAGAAATCATGCAAACCAATTTTCCCCTAATAAAAAGTTTAACGTCTTATTATGTTTTTTCTTGTTTTTATTGCAAAGGTTTAGGTTCACCCTCAATGGGCAAATATTCTAAATAGGACATTGGAATGCTGTAAAATTCCAAGGAGTCCACCAGAACAGCAGCTAATATACATGTTTAGATCTGATTCTTGACCCAAAAGCTTGAGCTATAGGTTCTTGATTCCTTCTTGAGTCCTGATTCACTCCACGTGTCTTGGTTTTTTATGTAGGATAGTTTTTCCTCACATATGAACCCCAAGTATCTCTCCCTCCATACGTCCTCCGCATCCCAAACCCCAAAAATTAAGCTTCCACTCCCAACAATCCTGTCCCGCACCTATGTTTTAATCATCAGTAACAATTGCCTGTCCTCGTTCTGACTACACATCCATTTCTCCATAGCAATTCATCAATGTTTCCACACAATGCCAAAGGCATGAAATGTCACCTTTCTACCCAATAGCAACCACACCTTGAATTACTTATTTCCAAATAGTGCCAAGGATCCACATACATTTCATTCAAATTCCACTAGCTGTGGATCCGGCAAGGAGATGGTCCCAAAGAAGAGTGAATACACGTTCAGAATCCAATCTTGACCCAAATGCTCCAACAATTAGGGTGTCACTCCATCCATTTATAAGCTCACTTTTGCAGTCTTAATTTTCCAACTGGGTTCAATTTTCCCTCACGTGTGAATCTTACAGAACCCCTTTAGTTTATCAAGGAGCAGGTCAAAAATAAAGGACAAGCACTGAATTTCCTTTTCTTTCTTCATCTCATTTTTCAATCCAATTATGTGCTATACGATATGGAGTAGTCCTCATTTTCCTAAACCCTCTTCCCCATGGACTCGAACTTACAATCACTTGCAAGCAGAGGGATATATCAACAACCATTAAAGAGAGAATTTAGAAAGTCAGAGAAATAAAATACCAAGTTCTAACTTGAAGTCTTGCTCTGCCTTGGACAGTGGCTTTTTCTGTAGTCCTGATAGACTTTTCAACTTATGTAAGCGCTCTTCTAAAGAATTGTGAAGCTGAACTGCTCGTTCAATGCGACTCTCTACCTTCTCCTGTTTCTTTTCAACTTCCAAAAGTTTCTGCTGCGATTCACGCAAGCGAGAATACTGGTTGTCAATGATTTTCTTCAAATGAGGTGCATGATGCTGGAGTTCGAAATACACCTAGAAATGAGAGAGAAGAAGCATATGTAATTTCAACAAAGAAAACAAACAAATAACTTAATCAATAGGATCAGGCCAAAACTATCTGGATATATTTTTGTCATCTTTTTCAAAATATGTTCACATGCAGCAGCCAAATAGTTACAAAAAGCTTTTCAATTAAAATCCACAAGCACCTGCATTGTACATATTCTACAGAGAAGTGATGCTTTCATAAACAACATCAGTCAATCGAACAATCAACAGAAAGTTCTTAAGATACTACACAAACATGAACAGGAGTGGCAGTCAACTCAAATGTCTTTTTAGCACAATTTGAACCACAAGTATCATAAAAATTAAGACCTTTATAATATATCATCCAAAATAGCTTTGGCAGTGTAACAATTATTTTTCCTCACAAGTTTGAACAAGTGATTTAAACAAATCTTCTCAAGATGAAAAGAGTTAATAGCTATAATAACAATTGCAAGCATGAATTACTACACATGAATGATATGGCACGCTTATTACCTTGTGAGCATATTCCATGTAATTTTCATGGAAAAGCTTGAAATATTGATGAAGAGTTGCACGTCCTTCAATAGAATCAGCAGTCACAGAGCGTAAATTAGGTGCAGAATGTGGTAACATAACTGCCTTAGGACCAGCAAGGAGTTCTTTGCTGATAATAGTGGGAGTGTCTATCTCTTTTAGCTCTTCAAAGAGGACAGGCGACTTCCCCTTTTCTATAGTATGAGTAAGCAACAGATTCCAAGTCTCCATCTGTAGCACAATACATTCCCAAGAAGCAGTAAGCCCCACGATCCATGAACTCCCAAATGAATCTGATAAAGCCAATAAACCATGAAGAGAAGATGTGCTCGAGGATTTTCCTGAGCATGTACTAAGAACAGCATGCACAGCAGGAGTTTTCATCTCCTCTACCTTGCCACTTGCCTGGCTAGTATAAGGGTGAAAGTGCAAAACTATAGAATCTATTCCTTCATTATGAAGGCAATATTTTCTTTCTCCAACAATGGGATCAGCTATCATTGAAAACTAACAAATACCAATGCCACAAAAGACAGACCAGTTGATATTGCTAAAGATTTTAAACTTTTATATTTTCAGCATCACTTGCCTGGCTAGTAAAAGGGAGAAAGTGCAACACTATCGAATCTATTCCTTCATTATGAAGGCAATATATTCCTTCTCCAACAATGGGATCAGCAATCATTGAAATGAGAAGATCATTTTTCATTGGCAAAGCTAAATCCACAATGGCCAGCCTCAACAGGGGAGGTGGATGCCCTAACCAGGCCGTATGATTCTGGGGCTGATCAAACTTCAAAACGGAGAAACCAGTAGGAACTGATTCACAAATCATGGCAACACCAAGTATATGATCATACGAATCGACACAAACTCGAGGTGCACTACCTACTTTCCAAACTGGCTGTATTTCATCAGCTAAAGCATCTATCTGCAATTGACCACCACTCCAAGCAGTCACAAGAATTGAATCCTTGCTAACCAAATTGTACAAAAAACTGACTGCCCGCCCTTCACAAACTCCTCTCTGAACTTCAGAATCCTCTCCTAGACTATGATATACATTACGAAGAGGTCCCTGGAAATAATAACCATCAATATTTCAGAGATGTTGCATAAGCATCCAAATAAAAAATTTAAAACAGTAGCTGTAGGACAAGATACACCAGGAGAAGGGAAAAGAGTGAAACAAGAGCCTAAAAAATTCTAAGCCTAAACTCTATTGAGTATCTTCAAGTATTTTTTTACGAAAAGCAAAAAGATCCAGGCATGAATAAATCTGGACGATACACTAGTCACCAACAACTCACATAAAAATGATTTCTAAGTTGTAGCATAAAGTGCTTCATAAAATTAACTTTTTAAATATTGGAAACTATAGAGTAGAAGTATGTGAAACAAAAATACAAAGAGTGGTGGAGAATTTGCACAACTATCTGTCTCTTGAATTACAAAGTGAAATACCCTATTTACATGGTTACTAATAACCAAAATAAGAACGTTTAAACCTACCTACCATAATCTTCCACCAATAGTTATCTTCCCTATGAGTGCCTATCAAGATTTGCTATAATATATCCTAGGCAAAGAAGTAAACCAGATTCAATCTCCTAAAAAGAAAACAATAAAAAAAACCAGCTTGTCTAGGACTCCAGTGATCAGCAAAAGTCAATCTTCCAACATTCTATTTTAAATAGAAAAGGGAAAGAAAAGAAAGACATATTAGTTTCAGTGGCAAATAACAGGTGAACCGGAGTGGCAGATAACAGGTGAACAGGGAAAGAAAAGAAAGGCATATCTTCCTGAATCACAAAAAAGACGTGTTAACTGTTAACTCCAACCATGCCAAGATTGCACTAAATATGGACTTCCAGCATTGCATTCCTTTTACAACTAAAATACTACCAATAAACAAAAATGTCACGAGTACAAAAAAAAAAAAACCAGCTTGTCTAGGACTCCAGTGATCAGCAAAAGTCAATCTTCCAACATTCTATATTAAATAGAAAAGGGAAAGAAAAGAAAGACATATTAGTTTCAGTGGCAGATAACACGTGATTTCTTCCATGTTGCTCACTAACTATTCTGTATCCTAAGAACTTGGAAGCATTCCATAAAATTAAGTGCTCATAATTTTTAAGCGTAGATCGCAGAGCTCTGATTCTACCTTGCAAAAGAAACTGCTAGGTTCAAGAAAAATGTAATCATATTAGGAGCCTGAATAATGTCATCAGCAGTCGTCATGATAATAGGAAACAACTAAGGAGTGTCTACTTAGAGGAAATAAATTTTAACTGAAATATAAAAGTAGAAAAATAAACTTTTGGAAATGAATGCAAGCAGAAACACTGAATCAAAGTCTGCATAAAATTCAAATTATAAGAAAAAGCAAGGCATCAAAAGAAAATCATAAAAAGCCTAAAATATCTTAGTGAATTAAGTCAAAATATCAATGAAAGCAGGAAATCAGATCTTTAAGTACTTGCTATGCCCAATTAAGAACACACATAATTAATAATTTTAACAAAAAAAAGTTCACAGACTAAGATTGAAAAATACCTGCAATGAAATAGATGCATCAAATAGAACATAAGGCTGAGCTTTAATTGAAAATAAGTTTCCACCTTCTCCTGCTTGACCAGCTAATCCAGGAAACGTGGATTCTAACCAAGAGATCGCTAGATTAGAATTGTTAACTGCTTTCAAGTTGGATGATTTCATCCCAAATGTATGGGCATCATTGTATATTTCCAGAATTGATTCCCATTTGTGTACACTGTTGACAGCCAAGAGTTCAATTATTCAAACTAAAGGCATCAGAAAGACTACCATGTCACTGGTAGAAGTACATTATAGAATCAAGTAATTGAGACAAGCCAATAACATTGTACCAGAAGTGTACACAGCATAGAGATACCCAAAATGAGGAGAGAGAGACAAAACAACAGAATAACGTTGCACATAATTAATATCAGCACAACGGATTGCATCTAATTTTTTTTATTACAATGGACAATCTTACTAGTTACTACTCCTAACCTACAACAAGACGGATCAACAAGATGACTATGGAGGTTTAATATTTCTAGCCATCTGCATCAAAAGTTCTGCATGTGCTAGATACTTTGGCAAGTAACATTGCATCACTCTGAAATATTATATAATACTTATTATGATGGACAATCGTACTACTCCTAAGTCACTCCTAACCTACGAAAAGACTGATCAACCAGATGGCTATGAAGGTTTAATAATTCTAACCATCCGCATTCAAAGTTCTGCATGTTCTAGATAAAATCTTCGGCAAGTAACCTGGCATCTCGACACCAATATTTTATAATGATACATATGGGAATTGAGGGAAAAAAAAAAATGGGAACTCCAGGAGAACCAAAAAGGACTTCAATTGAGCATGGATAGTAAATTACCTTCCAAAGGGAACAATGGGGCAGAGGATGTATATGGATCCATCACTAAATAAGATAAAAACCTGCATTATGAGAAGAAAAATCAATAAACTTCCATCCATGTCAAAAGCTAGTGTGGTGCTTCAGCAATCGAGGGCTAAGAAGCATGATACCAATCAGGAGGGAAATGCATTTGTGCAGAATGTTGCGCAGACACAGACACTACCACTATTTACTAGTAAAAAACTTAAACAAGTTATCAAAGTTGAGGTAAAATATTCTCTTACTATGAAAGACAACACAATAACTGTAAATAAAGTATAATACATGGCACAAGTAATACAAAGAAAATTCACATAAATGTGGCATCCATACGTGCATGTATTTATTGTGATACAACAAATTATAACATCACTAACATAATGCAATGATCCTATATAGATTGACTTCAATGTAAGTGTATGCCTATATAATTAAAAAAGGGGTAACTACTTGCAACAATATCGAATTGATAGCTCTAACTAATTCATATTAAGATATCAAGCATGTAAACACCAAGATCAAAGAGTGACTGTAACACACGGTTCCAATAAGAACATTAAGGCACCAAGATTCATGTACATCAGATTTAGAAAACGTTCAAGTTTCCTATGAAAGCTACATGCACCAAATTGTGACCAATATAAATAACAAGGAAGAAAATGTCACAAATATGTCAAGAATTGATAAACAAATCAGTACAAAGGACACTTATCTCTTAATTCTATATGATTGAGATGTGTAAGTACTTCTAAAGGACCATAAAAATTATTATTCAAGATAAATTGTACTTATACTAACTTACCATGAATCAGCAAAAAAAAAAGTACTTACACTGAATCTGTCCCACAAATGATCACCCCCAAAAGAGAAATCCACAGGGCAGATTGATGCAGCTTTACATGAACTACCAGGTTCTATAGGTTGCAAATAATATTCCTGCTCTGGTTGTTCGAGAGCTGATGACAAATCAAAAATTCTGGGCAGACATCAACAGCACAATGATGACAACAATACACATAATATTCATGAATAAAATCAGCCTGCCATGAAATAATATCACAACGAATACCTATTCCAACTATCTCGAGGCCAAGGAGGAGATACATCCAACATTAAGCAAATGAAATAGCTAATACGCACAAGTCTAGTCAACATGCATTATGGATTACTACAACCAGGATAGATATAAAAGGTGGCTGTGGCACCTGAAAACTGAATCAGAGGAAAGGATTCCAATATGAGTGTCACTGTAAGGGTGCCAAGAAATCTGTAATGTGCGGATGTAATTATTCCTGTTGAAGTATATCTCCGAGCCAATTGACACTGTCCTGTTAAAAAGTAGAAGATTAGCACCTTTATCTTTGATCATTGTAGTTAAACAAATGACAAAACTGCCAATCATACCTTCTAATCTCTAAAACACAAGGCACCTCTTTTGTGATATTTTTATAAGTGGAAATTCAAATACTTGAAGGAGTCAATATTTTAACCACGTGAATTTCCATTTGACATGCATATGCAAAGCAAAAGGTTTCATGCTTAACATCAAGATATACAAATATAATTATAAAAGTCTCTATTCCAGACACTTAAACAAGGCATCGTTCCAATAAATAGTGCAATAACTAGAGTTCTTTTTCTTTCTTGATTCCAGCTTTCAGCACTCAATTATGTCTTCATTAAGACTGTGCTATTGATTGCTAGAAACTTATACATTTCATTACATTTATAAAGTACTGTAACAGTGTCAAAATAGAACTCCACGTCATATTTAACCCAAATTCAAACAAGAGCCAGAGAAGGCAGAAGTGCAATTTCTTTCTCAATCTCATGCAAACCAAAAGTTCTAAACATCGTGCGAGGTTATCCTTCCTTAGAAGGAGAAATCAACATGACTGGAATAGCTCACTTTCTAGAATTTGCTAACTTTTCATTTCATATATGGTGGTATTCTTAACCACACAACCCAATGCGGTGTCTGGCATTTCGATATGCTTTATACCTATTACATTTTCCTTTTCACCTCTGTTGAACCAATTTCATAATCATAAATTTCAGATATCCGTACTAGTGATTTCTTCAAAACAGGGCCAAAAGAAAATGGAAAAAGTATCTTCAGAATCAGGCATATGTTATCATACCGACAAATGATAATATTTTCTTCCATCGAAGAACGTCCATAGAGGTACATGACACACAAACCCTCCGAACCAGCTAGAAGCAATGCTGATCCATTTCTGTTCGCAGAAATCTTATCAACATGAAAACTGAGAGGAACATCTGCTTGCAATACCTATTGGAAAATTGGCATATTAGCATTGCATACTAATTTAACATCATGAAAAAGTAAGAGCTTTGTGCTATAAACAAGCTACTCTTGCACCACATTAACATCTGCTTTCAATAAATATTTTGTTTAAATTATTCATGTTCTCTAGCACAAATCCCAAATTCATAAACATCTAGAACCCTGAGAACTTAGACTCAAAACACAAGGTAGTGTTGCCTCATACACATAAACACATTTTGAATTCAAAAGAGAAACAAACTATGAAACATATAACGATAGAGAAGGAAAAAAAAAAGACCTTGGAGGGGGATGCGGCGAGAATTGAACCAGTGTCGGGTTCGCCCAACCGAATAGATATTCTATGGACACACATTTTGTTAGAATCCCAAAAGTAAAGGCGAGAGGCCCCGTCCCAGGTCATGAGATTCCTTGGCATACTGGAGTCTCCGACAGTTTCCGCTGTGGAAGAGAAAAGCGGGTGGTTCTGGAGTAAAACCCATTGGATTTCTGCTTTTGAAGACGGAATTGATGATGTCGGCGTTACAGATTGACGTCCGCCTTGGGATTTTCCTTCCGATTCCGTTTCGTCGAATCCAAATCTCATTGCTGGTTTGTTAATGCTCTCCTGAGTCTGTGTCTAGGGTTCTTCCACTTTCTTCTTGTTCTTTCTTTTCAGTGTAGGGAAAAGACCAACCGCCAAATTAAGCCAGGTATAAATTCAGCCAGGGTCAAAATTTCAATTAGACATGGAATTAAGCTACATGTATATTACGTTGGTTTTGCTTCGATTTTGCTAATGATACATCACCATGTACACGGGGTATACACTCCCTTCCCATATTTTTAATTAAGCGGGTCTCACCCCATGTGAGGGAGATGTATACCCTCATGTACATTTTTTGAAATACAAGTAGAATTATTCATATTATTTTGGTACATCGTGGACGATATCTATAAAATTCGAGGTCATTGATTTTTCAGTTATGCTATAGGTACAAAAAAAAAAACTTGACAGAATTTGAACAGAACAATGCTTAGCAATTTTTCATTGATTTAGGATTCAATAATGACAGAAAATGCATGATACAGATGCTGCCAACGTAGCACCTGTATAGTTTCTATGATTTATGGAAATAATTCTCTGTATTTAAACATTATTAAAATTAATGACAAAATTGTATGTCACGTAAACATAGTTATTTTACATTTCACAAATTAGGATCCACTACAATAATATTATGTTCACCTCAAAGTATTTATATTTTAATTTTTTTTCTTTTATGTATTTTTTTCTTTTACATTTCATTAATCATATTTGATAATGATTTTCATTAAAAATATTCGTTGGAAGGATAAAAACGAAAACGACCTATCTACCTACCATATGTTTAGAATATTCAAGATCGATGGAGCATGTATTCTCATATGATAAGAAAAATTCCTTGCGTACAAGAATTTTTTTACAGATTTTTGATAGATATTTGAAATGCTTCAATCTTGTCTGAGTGTGTGTATTTTCTCTCTTCCAATCTTTCAATTATTTCCCTTCATTTCAAAAATTTTCGTATGTTTTCTGTGAAAAATTCAATTACTCATATCGGGGTTCCATATGATAATGTATGGGAAAGAAGAAAAAATTGTTTGTGCTAGGTTCATGATTCGAGGTATTGTGGGCTTTTAGAGGTATATTATGACTACTATGTACGAAACAACGAATACCCACTGTATTTGATTTTATGATCTTTTCAAAAATAAGTTTTTCTCTTCTGGTAGTTAAGGATTTAAATATGAACGAATTTATCCAACTTAGTCAAGATGACAGTGTTCGACTAAGATCCTGTTTGGTAATCATTATTTCAATTTTTTTTAATATATTCATTTTCAACTACACATTCACGCAAAAAAATATTTTGTATATAAAATCAAAATTTTCTGACTACATATCCTCCAAAAATTCACTGTTCAAAATATTATTTTTCCCAACTAATGCCCGTCAAATAGGGGCTAAAAGAAAGCCAATGTGTTCAAATGTATGAAGGTCCCATTTAGAATGATTTTTGAAATGTTAAAAAATGCTTTTGAAACTATTAACTAATTTTATAAAACTGTTCCTTTTAGTTAAAAAAGTTTTTAAAGCAAGTTAGTCTAACATAACTTTCTCTAAAAAGCACTTCGAAATAATAAGGTCTTTTAAAAATTAGTTTGAAAATAAAAATTAAGATAGTTTCTTACAAAAGTTCTCATATAATAAATGGATTGTGCTATGTGTACACAATGCATTACACCTCCCTCACATGGAGGGGGGCCCCACACACAATAAAATATTTGTGGAGCCCCCTCCATGTGAGAAGGGTGTAATGCATTGTGTACACCACAAGATGTACATATAGCATTATTCATAATGATAAGCAAAAGGCATGTCAAACAGATCCGAAGTACAAGACATAACTTTTTCCTATTATATCTCAAAGATCTTTATTGGCCAAGCAAGCCGAACTTAAAATTATCGAAGTATGAGCGGGAAGAAACCAATATCAAATGGGATCATAATAACATAAATTGGAATTTAAAGAAGCATTGGAATGCAAATCGACGTGGCAAAATTTCTAGTAGGGCTTTTGACATGCCGTCAATGTGGTAGGAATCACTCCAAAAAACTTTATGACTGTGTTTTTGATGTGGAAAATCGGGACACACGAGCCAAAAGAAGACCAAAAGTGAGCTCTAGTGTATTCCATGATACACAACAAAGTAGTTGCATGTATGTTTTATGTTAAGACTGAGTCTAGTTTTGCTTTGTTTGACTCGAGTGCTACTTATTCTTTTATCTCTACGTATTTTCTTCAATGCAACTCCTATTCAACTATCGTCTGAATTCAATGTTATCCTTCCAACCAGACCGAAGAAATGCTCAAAAAGCGAATGCATAATGCATACCCAACCAATCTGATTATCCTTGCCTTTAGAGATTTTGGCTTGATACAGACAATGGACTAGTTGTCCAACCATAATGTGACCATTGACTACATGAATTTTCCAGAGAGGCGAAGTCAATATCTTTTTATAGACATGAGAAAACTTCAAAAAAAATTGTTTCGGCAATTAAAGAATCTAAGCTAATTGCACAAAGATGTCAAGGTTTCTAGGCAGAAGTTGATGACTGAAGGATTTATTCATCCTCGATGGGGAGAGCCAATTTTATTTGTCAAGAAGAAAGCCGGATTAATGCATTTATGTATAGATTATCAAGAATCGAACAAAGTGAACATGAAGAAAAAATATTCATTTCTAGATACTGATGATTTATTTTTAACCAATCGCAAGGGTAGACTCTTTCATGAAAATAGATCTTCGGTTGGGATATCACCAGTTAATAATTAAAGAATAGGACACACATAAGAAAATTTGTAGTACTTGATATGGACACTTTGGTCCTGCTTGGAAGTTTCGGTGTAATGGTTATGAGCGTTTTTCAATGTATCAATTTTGAGCGTTTATGATCGGATCAGTTATGGGTGGTTTTAGTAGCAATTTTTAAAACACTACAATCCATGTTTGAGAGTTTATTATCCGCCGGGTTCTAAAATTTTTTTTAAAAAAGTGAAGTTACATATATGTCCCTTAGTGAAATTTTGAGTTTGTGGTTTATGGCGTGAAATTTTTTATTTATAAGTGATATTTTACTTATATGTAATTTTTTTTACATATAAGATAATATATAACTTAAAATGTTACATAAAATTTTGTGTTAGTATTTCTTAGTTATATATAAACTTTATAATTATAACTTAATTTGTAATTATAACATAAGCTAATTTTTTACTTATAAGTAATTTTTTATATTTTTTAAGTTGTTTTTTTGTCTTATTAGTAAGATTTTTACACAAAAATATTTTTTTATCTTATAAGTTTCTTAATTATAATATAATGTTTTTTTTCTTATAAATTTATAAGTTAGTATTAAAAAAAATAAGTTTGTTGGAAATAATTATTTTATAAAGGATAAAATTAGAAGAGAATTTGAGAAACGGCAAAAAATATTTGATTTTGTGGGTTGAAAGAACCGGTCAAAATTACACTACCGTTTTTGAGTAATTTTTAAACCATTTAAAATTGGTGTCCAAAAAATGTAGGAAACACTAGTTATTTCAACCCCTCATAAACGGTGTCATCCAAAACTGGTGAAAATTAAACTCCCAAGCAAGCCCTTCGAGTTTTTGGTGATGCCGTTCGAATTAACCAATCATCCACAACTTTCATGAATATAATGAATTGAGTATCTAAAGAATATCTCAATGAATTCGCAATTGTATTTATTGATGATATTCTTATTTACTCGAAGTCAATGGAAGAGCATGCCACTCATTTGAGGTTCTTGAAAAATAGTTGCACGCCATGTTTAAGAAATTTAGAGGCTGTTCTCTTTGTGTTTGAGTTTTGTATTTTGCGTTTTGAATTTGTTTTGTATTTTGTGTTTTGAGTGTCAATTTTGAGATTTTTGAAAATGCGTTCTTTTTACCATTTTGAAAATTTGTTTTCAAAAATTAGGAAATGGAAACGTGTTCTCTTCTCTTCCCTTCCTCAACCTCTCTCTTTCTCTTCCTCGTGCCTCTTCCTCCTCCACCTCTTCCTTCTCCTCCTCTCCCTCGCCCTCTTCTTCTCCTTCCCCTGCTTCTTCACTGATGGTTGTTGGTTTGAGTGTTGTGGTTGGATGCGATGGTTGGGTCGTGAAGCTGAGGTCGTGGTAGTTGGGTTGCGACTTTTGGCTAGGGCGGTGGGTGTAATGGCAAATCGATTTTGGCCATGGTTGGGTCGCGATTCTGGTGGCGATTTTGCGGTGGTTGGGTCGCCATTTTTGCTGGGTAGGTGGGGGTAATGGCAAATCGATTTTGGCCATGGTTGGGTCACGATTCTGGTGGCGATTTTGAGGTGGTTGGGTCGCTAGGTAGTGGTGGTCTTTCTGGTGGCAAATTTGGCGATGGTTGGGTTGCCATTCTGGTGGCAATTTTGCTGTGGTTGGGTCGCCATTTCGGTTGGGCGGTGGTGGTCTTTCTAGTCGCAAATCTGGCAGTGGTTGGGTCGCGATTCTGGTGGTGATTTTGAGGTAGTTGGGTTGTCATTTTGGCTACATGATGGTGGTCTTTCTGGTCGAGATTTCCGGTGGTTGGGTCTCCGTTTTGGCTATGGCGTTGGGGGGTTTCTGGTGGCGATTTCGGTGGTGGTGGTGGTTGGGTTGCGGTAGTGGGTTCTGGCGGTGCAGTGGTGGTCTGGTGCGGTGATGGTTTGATGTGGTTGAAAACAAAGAAAACGTGTTTTGGAAATTTTTGTCAAGTTATAATTGAAAACACCCAAAACGACAAAATTGTCGTTTTGTGTTTTCTTTGTAAATTTTCAACCCATTTTCAAAAACGCGTTTTCGAAAATAAGATAGAGAACGCGTTTTCACTGTTTTGAAAAATTGAAAACAGAAAACGGGTTGAAAATGACAAAGAGAACAGGCCCTTAAGTTCTAGTTGGAACAAGTTGTGTTTCTCGGACATATAGTGACTTAAGAGGGTTAGCGATAGGCCCAAGTAAGTGGAAGCAGTAATGGAAGTACGCAGT